CTCGGGGCTCGGGGCGAGCCGGGCCGGGGAGAAGTTGTCAGCGAGCGGAGACGGCGCCCGGTACGTCGTCCTCGCAGCTCTAGCAGCTCTCGCGGCTCGCGGCTGCCGAACGCCGGCCCGCAGCGCTCTCCTAGGGGAGCGGAGGAGAACGCCGCCGCCGCCCCCGCCCGGCGCTGAGGAGAAAGTGCGCCCGCCCGCGCGCCGGCTCCAACCTCGGCCGCCGCGACCGCCGCGCCCCATTCACAGCCCGGCCGCACGCGCCGCCCGCGCCCGCCGCCTGCCTCTGATTGGTCGAGCCCCAAGGCTCCCGCGCCTGGGCCCCGCCCCTTCAGCCCTCGCCTGTTTTCAAACTCGCGGCGCCCGCCCGCTCGCAATTTCGTACCGGGGCCCTGAGCGACTTCCCGCGTCCGCTGCGCCCCCTAGGGACCCACGACGAGGATTGCAGCCGGCGCGCCGTCTCGGCACACGCTTTCCAGGCGGGCTGCTGTGCTAGGCGAGCGCCGGCAGGGCGGTGCCTGGCTCCCTTCCCGGAGTCCCGGGGGCTGTCCTGGGCTGCCTGCGGGTAGGACCCGGCCACCTCCGGCCGGCCCAGGAGCCGCGGGATGCGCGAACAGGGATTCGCGGGTGGAGGGCAAGTGGGCACGCCCCTCCATGCGCCCGGGAGCCTCCCTGCTTCCAGCCGGGGACTCTGGTGCTGGGGGTGGTTGCGAGCCAAGTGTTGTCATTGCAAAGGAGAAAGGCGCGCGATAGGGTTTGCAAATCCCTAGCAACAAGAGGCACCGTGGGGCGCGAGCACACCGAGGAGTGGACATGGCTTTGGAGAGGCGTCCAAGGTCATGTGTGGCCAGCAGGACCACAGCACCAGAAGCTTCCCGAGTGGGGTGGGAGGATCTAGAGAAAGGACCTGCAAGGGGGAAGGATCTGTCAACCAAGGACCTGGGGCAGTCCGCGGGGCTGGAGGGGTGGAGATGGGCGCGGACCCTTGGCAGCATGTGGTAACCATTAGCTGAGTTTATAGGGTGAACTAAGCACACTGGAGCTGAGGCGCTGGGATCTTTGTGGGAGGAGAGCTGGGAGGTGACAGTCCAGTCCGGGGCTGCTGGGAGTTGGCTAGGAGGTGCCTGGGAGCATGTGATGGTGATGGAGTGAGGTCATGAAAGAGGCAAAGGCCAAGCCAGGCTGGGTGTCAACTTACAAGTACTGTGGTGCTTACTGTTTCTGCCAACAGGACCCTCAGGTCTGAGGCTTGTGAGTGACAGAGCCCTGGTGTTGAGCCGGATCTAACAGGGGCCTTTATCTGTTAACAGTGAAAGAAAAGTGGGGCAACTGAAGCCCAAGGACAGCAGCAAAATGGAGGCTGTGGGTTAGGAACTACATCTGACCCTCCGTCTTGCCTTTTGCCTACACCAGCTAGGAAAAATAAAAGAATCACAATGTAGCCAAAAGGCGTCCTGCGCTCAGTGCACAAGGAAGGCTCCTAAGTGGGCAACAGTTGCCAGAGAAAAGAAGTGTGTTCTCAGCCCTGGCATTCTGACATGTGGATTAGGACGGGGAGTGGAAGGGGGAGCTATGTGTAACCCTGGGGGTTGCACAAACTTACAAGTTTATGTAAAAGCCTGGGGCATGGATACATGAGCAATATCTACTGAGCACAAAGCACTCACCCTGGGCCAACCACCTCGCCCACCAAATGCTATCTCTGCTACTGATGGGGAAGTGACCTGCCCAAGGCCAGGGGTTCAAATCTTACCCTCTCCGCCTCTGAGTACCTCTACTCTACCCAGAGATGGGAGCCAGGAGGTGAGGGTGTACCCATGAAGTAGATTTGGCTTGGTGCTTTTGGTTCTGCTCTTCCAAGTTGTGAAATTTGGGCAAATTGCTGATCTAAGTTTCTGGAAAGAGGAATAATTCCCATCTCACAGAACTGTTGCAAGAAAGTGACCTAATCCACACTCAGTAAATGCTTCTCTCTCCTTCCCCATTCCCATGGGGCAGCCACCGCTAGTCACAAAATGCTCTTGCTCTGTACACCAGCAGTTTGCTACCCAGTTAAGCCTTTCCTATTGCATGCTAACATATGCCCATATACCTTTACAGCACAAGCACCAATGTGACTCCTCCAGCAGCTTCTTGACTTTTGCATACTCAAAAAAACGTCCACAGCCTTTTTTTGCTGTGATTTAGTTTGCAGTTAGCAGAGAGCTTTGTGCAAACTGGCTTGCAAATTAGAAAGCCCGGTTCCGGAGATGGTAGGTTATAAGAGATCAAGAGCAGAGACATTGATGCTGCCAAAGAAGGTCTGGGGACCCTTCAGGGAAATTTTGTATTCCAGTATCACCCTGGGAAAGTAAGGTTCTATTATGGTCTCCATTCTGCAGTCAAAGAAACGAAGGATTTAATATATGCAAACCAACCATGCTGAAGCCAGAACAGGAATCTGGCTCTCCAGAGTCCTGTTGTAAGACCTTCCTCCCTGCCAGAATATGTGCCTTTTACAGGACCCATTAGTCACTATCTGAAGGAGAGTGTCTGGACGATAGCTAGGCTTTCTCAAAAAAAAAAAAAAAAACAATGAAGAAAGCCAGGCATAGTGGGATGTGCCTATAATCCCAACACTCAGGAGATTGGAACAGGAGGATCATGAGATCCAGACAAGCTTGGGCTATGGAGCAAAATCCTATCTTTAAAATCCAAAACAGAGGGCCTGGAGAAATTGCTTAGCAGTTAAGAGCACTGGCTGTTCTTGCACCCACATGATAGCTCACAACTGCCCACTGTCCATAGCTCCAGTTCCAGGGGATCCAACGCCCTCTTCTGGCCTCCACAGGCATTGCATGCATGTGGTGCACATACATACATTCAGGGGAAACACTCATACACATAAAATAAAAATAAATAAATCCAAAATAGAAGCGGGGCAGGTGGCTCAGTGGGTAAGAGCACTCACTACATAGGCACAATGACCTGAGTTTGAATCCTCAGCACCAAGGTAAAAAGCCAGGCATGACCATAAACTCCCAGTGCTTTGAGGAGTGGAGAAAGGAGGATCTTCACTGGCTGCCGGTCTGAATCCAAATTCATCATATATGCCGGGCTGCTTAGTTTTTGTCACCTTGACACAAACTAGAGTCACCTGGGAAGAGAAAACCTCAACTGAAGAATTTTCCAAATCAGACTAATTGGTGGCCATGTCTGTGAGGCATTTTAGTTGCTAGTTGATGTAGGACAGTCAGCCCACTGTGGGCAGTGCCATCCCTAGGCAGGTGGGCCTGGGCTGTAAAGAAAGGGTGCTGAGAAAATTAGGGGGAGCAGCACTCCTCCATGGTCTCTGCTTCAGGTCCTGCCTCAGGTTCCTGCCTTGAGCTCCTGCCCTGACTTCCCTCAGTGATGGACTGTGAGCTGTAAGCTAAAATAAACCCTTTCCTCCCCAAGCTGGTTTTGGTTAGTGTTTTTTCAGAGCATCAAAAAGCAAACTAAGACATATACCATGTAGACACTCACACAAAATAAAAGATCTAAAAATATTCCAAAATAATACAAGAGCCTCCCTTTAGAGTGCTAGAGAGGGCAGCTAGCCTAAGCAGAGTAGTAATATTTCTGCCCAAAATACCAATTAATCTTTCACCTTAATTTTACCCAGCTCAAGAGATGGCTCAGTGGTTAAGAACACTGGCTGTAATTGCAGAAGACCTGGGTTCAAATCCCAGCCCCCACATGGCAGCTAACAACTGTCCATAACACCATACACATAAAATCTGACAGCCTCTTCTGCCCTCCTCAGGCATTGCATGGCACAGGTGCACTTACCTACATGCAGGCAATACACACATACACATAAAATAAAAATAATAAATAAAATATTTTTAAAAACAAGTCCTCAAGAAGTGAATGTGTTATTTTTGTAGACTCTCCTTTAAAATTCTTTAGCTATATACATCCTTAAATGCCACGCTGTGAAAACTGACTCACTTTTCTTTTTAAAAGTGAGCTGAGTCAGGCCTGGTGATGCAGGCCTGTTATCCCAGCCACTCCAGAGGCTGAGGAAGATGGCACATTCTAGGCAAACCTTGGAATTTGTGACCCTCTTTTAAAATAAAACTAAAAAGAGGGCCGGGTACTATAGCCTAGTGATCGTGAGTTTTCTTGCATGTATGAAGCCCTGGGTTCAAATCTTAGCACTTAAAAAAAGGGGGGGAGGCTATGACTGTCTCTGCTTTCCAATAAATTAGGGTCTCTCTTAGGTTAACTAAATAGAGGAGAATTTCCAAACAAATGTTCAGATGATCACAGATAATCATTCCACCCCTTGTTACTTTTTGTCTTTGTATTTTGAGACAAGGTGTCGTCACTGTCCAACGGGTAGCATTGAACTCACTGATTGGCCTTGAACTCAAAGCAATCCTTGTGCCTCAGCCTCCTGGAATTACAGGTGTACACCACCACATTTGACTTACCCTTTTAACAGTTTAAAGACTGGCTACCGGAGGAGTGGCCCATGGATCATCAACCTTACCTGGGAGCAGATTTAAAACACTCTTCAGCCCTGACCTTGAACTGCTGAATCAAAATCAAGCTGAACAAGACTTCTGACTGATTTCTATTGCTTTTGGGTCTCACTAATTATTCCTTTTATGTCTCTTGGGATGTCAAGGGATTTGTGATTTTTCTTCTTTCATGGTACTGAGAATGAACCCAGGGACTTGTTCACATTAGGTAAACAAG